GCTAGGATCTGGAACCAACTTCCAAGGGAAGTGGTGCTGGCTCCTACCCTGGAGGTCTTTAAGAGGAGGCTTGGTGCCTACCTAGCTGGGATCATTTGAGCCCAGCTTTTCTCCTGCTCAGGCAGGGGGTCAGACTTGAAGATCTACAAAGTCCCTTCCGACCTTACTTCTATGATTCTATGATCTGTGCCGCTCTCCACTCCCCACGTCAAGGCTTGTGCCCCCCCCTTGACTTATTTGAAGGGAGCTGCTTTCTGCCATGTGCATGTGTGCACGCACATGCATGTGGCGCCCCCTGCCCCCCACAGCTGCAAGCAGCCCCTTGCAGGCTGAAACTCTGCCAGCCTCCATGGGGAAACCCATGGTTTCCCACATTTTTCTTCTTTTCTCCAACATCAAGACCTTAAAAATGAAATGTGATTGTTAACTATGGTTACCATATATCTGGGTTTTCCCAGACAAGTCCTCTTTTTGGATCCTTCAGTCACCATCCGGACAGTTTTTTTAAATCTGAACCAATGTCCGCGATTTTGCTCTGCTTCACTGATGGGAGCAGGGTGGAGTGCGACTGGCGGCAGGGGCACCATATGCGAATGTGCATGCATATGTACATGGCCAGCATGCAGCCTGGCCAGGTGGTGGAAACAACTCCTGCAGCTGGATGCAGGTAAATCTATAGGGGACAAGGGCTGGAAGACCAGGGCTTGGTGACTGTCTAGGTGGTGTGTGTGTGCGTGCATGCGCGTGTAGGGGTCAGATGTCTGCTGGGGCTGTGGCAGGGTATGGGGGGGAGGTGTTTGCCCCTCCAGCAGGAGAAGGGGATGGGAGGGGCCCTTTGTGGGTAGTGAGGAGCTCTGTGGTCAAGCTGGAGGGGCAAGCACCTTGCTCACAGGGGTGAGGTGGCCAGGAGACGCTGCCCAGGGGAGGGGGAGAGCCAGGCTGCCTGGTGTGGTGCTGGAGCTGCAGCCTAGGGCAGAGGGTGGGGCATGCCACAGGCCTCCCTTCCTCCTCCCTCCAGCCCACACCAGGACTGGACTTGCTCCACCACCACCTACACAAAATTGGAGTTGCTGTGTTCCAATCCAGTCGGGACAGGGGCAGTGGGTTGGGAGTGAGGGGCACCAGAAAGACTGAGGGGGCTGTGGCTTGGGAATGAGGGCATGGGGCAGTGGGCTTGTGGGTCAGGAGTGTGGGGCATTAGTAGTGCTAAGGGCTGCGGATCCAGAGTGAAGAGCACCAGCATGACCTGGGTGGTCGGGCTGGTGGGGTTGGGGGAAAACTGTGGGTTGGAAGTGGGTGGCACTCGCAGGGCCAGGGGCCTGCAGGTTGGGAGTGAGGGGCAGCTGCAGGGATGGAGAGCTGCAAGTCAGGAATGAGGGGCACTGGAAGGGCCAGGGGGCTGTGGGTTAGGAGTGAGGTGCCCCCCACAACAGGTGTCCTCGTCTTTGGAACTGAAAATATGGTAACCCTACTGTTAAAACCTGTAGAATGAAAAATAATCACTTTAAGTCACTTGTGTCCCTTAGCTGCCTTAATAATACCACAGCTGCTGAACTGCGGAGCAGGAATCAAACCACGGTGCTTCTATCCCAGGCAGAAAAATCACCTTCCTGCTTAATACACAAACACCAATTCTGGGAGGCTAGTTTTGAAGATGCATGAAAGAGATATTGGTATCTTTAGCTACTCTCCTTCTGCCCACATTTAAAAGTGAGGATGAACAGATGCACCCTTGCCACCCTGAAGCATTCAGAAGTCAAAGTAGCTCTCTGAAAACTCTCTCATTAAAAATAAAGACAATCCATGGGGAAGGGGAGTTATTTGCCTTCCAGTTTTTTTAAATCTTAATCTTGAAATGCTCATACACACTTTAACATTCAACTTGATATGCACAAGTGAATATACAGACTTTCCCACCTGCCACTCCTAGAGCTCCCCCCTTACCTTCTAGCTCACAGGGCGTAGAAATTATTGTTCATTTACTTTTCATCCCCTTTCATTTTCACCATTCCTAGGCATTCCATGGAAAAATGTGAATAACCAGATTTTTAATGGTGGCTTCTGAGTGCTAACTAACTTTTGAAATGCATCTCAAAAAGTATCATTGTTTGACATCAAAGATCCTACGAGTTTCGGAAGATGCAGTGAGACCTCTGGTATCTGTATTTCATACAGATCGGTGAATGGCATCACTGAATTAACAGCACCTAAAAGTGTTTGGTTTTGCTTTGCAATCCTCTAAAGATCTTTCTTGTACAAGGACATCTGTGGAAATTATTCAGTATCTGAAATAATTTTACAAAAATAGCTTTGAATAGAGGGTTTGTTCTGTATATGGGTAATTTAAACAATTTTACCTTCAGAAGTCCTCGGTGAAAAAACGTTAAGCCTTTATAAAGCATAGCTATAGGCTGATTCTTGTTCAGTTCCAAGGAGTGCTGAAAGTCCTCATGGGCTGTTGCATAGTCCTGTTATACAAAACATCGCTTTTAGACAATGAAGTAACTGCTGGATAAAATAGATAAAGACAAATCCAAGCCCTTTTACAATTAAACATGTGCATTTTGTACCAAAGAAACATGTTGGAGTTCTAGGCCAAGTTTATTTCATCTTTCCTTTTATCAGTACTCCAAGGAAAAGCAAGACAAGATAAATGGAAAAATGGGTTAAAAATAAACCAAATGAAATCAATGGAATAAGCTGTTTTTTATCATCTTCTTGGGATAGCCGTTATTCATGATATGAATCATTTTTAAAGCAACAATTAAAGACACCAGCTTCATGTTACTTTAAGCATTCAAAAAGTAAAATAAATATTTTCATAGCGAGTAGATACTATTTAAGGATTTTAAAAATATTTTTACATAGCTGATATGGAGTTCCTATCCATAAATTTAGCTCTTTTTAAGTGAGTATCCAACAATAATTCCTATATGCATTTGAAGGCTAAACTATCAAATCAAGTTCTTCTATCCACAACACCATTCCAGAGGGCAGAGACAGCACTAACAATTATAGATGGCCTAAAAAATTAGACAGTATCCATTTTGTTTTTCTGTGTTCACTAAATAATGAAAATGAAATGTTTTATGAACTTTTCTGTTCAGAATATCCTAAAAAAAGGAATTAACTTCTGGTGAACCGCAACATTACGAACAACTTTTTTATGGGGAGAGGAGAACCTCTTTTCTTGCATGAAGGTAGCATCTAACAGTAAAAAAATCTCACATAACCAAAATAAAACAAAAAACTAACCTCAGATATAAAGTAAAGGGTTCCTCTGTGCCTGTAAAGCCGCGCTGATGGCTGCAGCTGAATGGCTTTAGTAAGATCAGCCAGTGCCTCACTAATTCGGCCCAATGGGGATAGAACCTAAAAATCCAAAGCAAGCAATTAGTTCAGAAAGAGCAAGCCGAGAAGCTCCAAAATTCTTTCATTTTTTAATATCTGGCATACCTTCAAATGTGAACATTAATTTTGTTCCCAAGTATATTAATAGTTGAATCTGTGTGTTCCAGAAATTGAAAAAGATCTGAGAAGGAAAAGAAATCTCACCTCTGCTCGCTGTTCAAATACTTCAGGGCAATCTGGTTCTAGACTAATCACTCGACTCAGCTCAAACAGAGCAAGTTCAGTATTTTTTATGTCCTTAAAAGAGGAAGTTAAGATACATAAGCATACCAACTTAAAAGTTAAACCAATCATTTAAGACAATAACTCAAAGAGGTCTATATATTCACTAAAGTAATGTGAGAACAGAGTACTTGAACTGCTTCACTAACAGAGGGAAGTGATGTATAAACTTAGCAAGGTATATATACACACACACACACTAAACATGAATACTACACTTACTCAAATCTAAGACAGCCATGAATTTAAGACAACCCCTCAATAATTAGATTCTATACATGGAAAAAATAATAAATGTTACAATTTTCCACGTAAAGAATCTAATTATTGGATGGCTCTCTTTAATTTATCCCTCCCACTGCTGCATGGGGATGTCAAGCAGCTTGCCTCCTGCTATGTACCACTCCTGCTGGGCCAGGCTGCAGCTATGCTCAGTGCCCCAGGCTGCAGCATGCATGGAGTCTGCTGGCACAGGGCAAAAGTAAGGGTGGGCGAAGGGAGAGGGACAGGCAGGGGAGCAGAAGCTATGTGGGGTAGGGGGGAGAAACGGGGAAAAGAGGCTGCAAGAGAGAGGTAACTGGGTGCAGAGGCGGGGGGGGGG